GGTGCTGTCAGCTCAGGGACAGGTGGGCATGTTGATGCTGGCCCAGGGGGAGGAGGGCATGGTGCTGCCAGCTCAGGAGCAGATGGGCATGGTGCCAGGTGGGCACAGTGCTGCCGGCCCAGGGGCAGGTGGGGATGGCTCCAAGGTGACCACACTCACCCAAGTGAAGATGGAGAAGAAGGAGAAGGCAATGGCCGCCCGGGCAGCGTCCGTCCTTTCGTTCAGCGGGTTGTCCTCCGGCTTGGAGACCTGCCACTGGTTGGCCAGGTAGCAGAAGCCCACGAACCAGAGGAAGGCCCAGAAGGCTGAGGCGTCCACCAGGGTCACACACGCAGACGGGGTGAGCGGGGACAGAAAAGGAGGCCAAGAAATGGGGAGAGGTTCAGAGTGTGTCTCCTCCCATCTCCCCAAAGAGAGGTCAAGGGACGTGGGCAAGGAGGAGGGGCCTTGAGAAGCAAGCAGTCATGAGGTGTAGGGACCACCACAGTGGGGGACAGAAGAGGGTCAGGAGGCACAGAGACAGGCCAGGTAGTGACAGGGAAAGGGACGGAGACCTGGGTATAAAGGAGACAGAAGCCAGGACGCTGTCTCCCAGTTAAATGTCACCAGGCCCACTGTTGCGGAGTGGACCAGGGAGTGATGAGTGGGCCGCGGCCAGGGTGCCGTGGCTTTTCCTGGGCTCCCAGCCCACCTGAGAGAACATTCGAGAGTCCGGGTCGGGGGAAGGCGAGTGGGAGCCTGGGGTCCTCCTGTGAGTGCCTGTGGTCTGCCCAGGGAGGCTCAGTCACTCGGTGAGTGTTCATGGGCTGAGCGTAGGGGGCTCAGGAGCCCAGCCCACCGGCATGCTGGAGAAGTCTGAGAACTATGAACTCAGCCTCAGCACTCTGAACTAGAAAGAGCCTGCGCCCAAGTCCATTCCCAATACAGGAGCGTGACGCCCTACTGGGGCAGGTGTGCTGATGGACAGTCTCCCACAGAAAGCTTTGGGCTCTGCTCTGTTCGGCTGGGAGGAGGTGGCAGAGGCCCTGTCCCTCCCTGGGCTTGTCCCAGGCCTGGAAACGGGGCTGGAGTGGTAAGAAACTCAGGGCCAACTGGGGGCTGAGTTGCTACATGATCTGGGGGTGGGGCTCACTGGGATAGCGGGGCTTGAGCCGCACTGTCTGTTGTCTGACAAGATCATACTGAGTCCCAGTCCTGGAAATTTGGGGAGATCCCAGCTGAAGCCTCAAGTCCTGGTACCTTCAGCATCCACCAATCAGATTCCTGGAGCCCCTGGGGGCGGTCAAGAACCCAGCCAGGGGAGTGCAAAGGTCAACAGGTGATGACCCAGGTGCTGGTTGTGCTCCCCGGTCTGGCTGGGCACCAGGGTCTGCACAGTCCCCACCTCACTTAATTGTCAGGGGACCCCCAGGCAGGGCAGAGAGGAGGCTACTCTGAGGTCCCTGGTCCTGCCCTGGCCCACTCTGTTCACTGCTGCCTGTGGCCACCTATGAGCTGACCTCCAGCCCACCACCTGCCTGTGCCTCAGTCTTGTCCGTGAAATGGGGAGAAGGCACAGCAGCCTCCCAGGGGCGTGAGACCAGCAGACTCGCTGCCTGGTGCCGCTGGGCTCACCCGAGACGCCGATGTCGGACAGAACGGCCTTCTTGCGGTCCTTGACACTGCTGATCTGCGGGAAGTAGACGTCCAGGGCCAGGTACAGCAGGCAGGTGAGGAAGGCCAGCACGCCCACCGTCACCCCGTAGCTGCAGGCGCTGGGGTTGCGGTTGTAGATGCAGAACTCCTCACCCTTGGAGAAGCTGTTGAGGTAGCCCTCGTTCACGATGGAGCCAAACACCACGATGGAGAAGACCTGCGAGGGGGGCGTGTGAGCACAGGGCAGGGACGGCCTACCTCAGCCCATCCAGGGCCAGCCCACTTCAGCCCATCCACAGCCGGCCCTCCTCGGCCCACTTTAGCACACTCAAGACTGGCCCACCTTGGCCACCTCAGCCCACAGAGGGCCGGCCCACCTCAGCCCACCCGGGGCTGGCCCGCTTCGGCCCACCCAGGCTGCCCCACCTCAGCCCACTCAAGACTGGCCCACCTTGGCCACCTCAGCCCACCCAGGGCCAGCCTGCCTCAACCCACCCGGGGCCAGCCCACTTCAGCCCATCTGGGGCCTGCCCACCTTGGCACACCTGGGGCTGACCCGCCTCAGCCCACCGGGGGCCAGCCCACCTCAGCCACCTCAGCCCACCCGGGGCCAGCCCACTTCAGCCCATCCACAGCTGGCCCACTTCAGCACACTCAAGACTGGCCCACCTTGGCCACCTCAGCCCACCGAGGGCCAGCCCACCTCAGCCACCTCAGCACACCCGAGGTTGACCTGTCTCTGCCTACCTCAGCCCATCCAGGGTGGTCCACCTCAGCTCCCACCCCAACCCACCTTGGCTGGCCCACCTCAACCTTAGTCCACTAGGCAGGCCCTAAGGGGAAAGCCTGCACAGTTCCACCACCCAGGACAGCCAAAGGGCTGGTGTTTCAGAGGAGGGATGACTTGTCGGGAAGGGAGGGTGATGGGGGGGCACTAAATCACTAACTCCCTCAGCAGTGGGAACTGTTGCTATTGTTGTTATGAGCTGTCAAGCTGCTTGTGACTCATAGCGACCCTAGGTGACCCAACAGAGTGTGGAAACTATAGACCAGTATCATTGATTTCACATGCAAGCAAGATTCTGCTGAAGATTATCGAAAAACAACTGGAACAGCACATCAGCAGAGAACTGCCAGAAGTCCAGGCTGGGTTTAGAAAGGGTCGTGGTACTAGGGATACTGTAACTGATGTTAGATGGATCTTAGCTGAAAGTGGAGAGTATCAGAGGAATGTCTATATCTATGATTATGTAAAGAAGTTTGACTCTGTGGATCACAATGAACTGAGGCTGACTCTGAGAAGAATGGGAATCCCAGAACACTTGATTGTACTAATGAGAAACCTATACTTGGATCAAGAGGCAGTCATCAGAGCAGAGCAGGGCAACACTGCACGGTTCAAAATTGGGAAGGGCGTACACCAGAGATGTGTCCTGTCTCCGTACCTTTTCAACCTGTATGCAGAACAGTGGGAACTGAGACTCCTTTAAACACAGAGGTGACCCCTCCCCATTCACTCAGACCCAGAATGGGCTTAACGCTAAGGGCTCTGCTTTTCAGGGTGGACCCTCATCCCAAAACAAGAGGTTCAGAGAGCTCCTATAACAATCACCACCACCGCCTCCCGAGCTGACCCTCTGAATGCTGGCAAACTCCCAGCTTCATACCTCAGTGGGCTGTTCTGGGGTCTCAGGCCTTGCCATGGCCCCACCTTGCCCTGCTGCCCGGACCACTGAAGCCCCCAAAAGTGGATGGAGGAAGGAGTGAAAGAACACGTGACACAGCACCCTAGGAACGGTGGGCTATGAGGGGGGTGCATGCTGCCTCCCTGACCACTCTCAACCCTGTGGTCAGTAGGTCTTCCCCAGGGGCAGTCTCCAATGGGACTCCCAGTGACCCTTGGGATGAACTGCCCAGTATCCCTTCAAAACATGTGCCGTAAATCCCAACCCCTAGTCTGTGCACACGGAGCTCTGGTGGCCTAGTGGGTAAGGAGTTGCGCTAGCAATCCAAGGGCAGGCAGTTTGAATCCACTAACTACTCGGAGAAAGATGAGTAATCCCCTCCCTGTGATTTACAGCCTCTGAAAACACACTGGAGGGTCAGATGTGAGTTGGTTCCGACTTGACAGCATACAGCTGATCTTGTATGTTTGACGGTTCTGAGGAGCGAAAGTCACCCTGGTAGTAATGTTTGCTTCATGAGCCTACCTATCAGGAAAATCTGCTGTCAGGGACCTCTCTAGAGTGCTGAAGAGCAAGGATGTCAATCTAGAGATTAAGGTGCACCTGATCCAGGCCATGGTCTTTGTAATTATTTGCTGTGCTTCAGAGAGCTGGGCAGTGATCAAGGATGACAGAATTGGTGCCTCTGAGTTGTAGTGCTGGAGAAGAGTACTGAATATACCCATGGACTGCCAAGAGACACCGGACAGGTCTGTCCTGGAGAGGGTGAAACCAAGCTGCTCCTTGGAGGCTAGGATTTTGAAGCTCTGTCTCACATACTCCGGGCAAGTAGCCAGGAGGGACCAGTCTTTGGAAAAGGATATCACGCTTGGAAGGGTTGAGGGACGGAACAGGAGAGGAAGAACCCAGATGAGATGGACTGATAACTGGGGTGAGGAGGGAAGGTGTGTTGGAGTCAGTGAGATTGGCTCAGGATAAAAGCAGGATTCGGAGCTACTGTGCATAGGGCCACTATGAGTCGTAGATGACTTGACGGAACTTAACAACATCTAGTGTCTAAGCCAATCCTTTCTGAGATTTTTTTAATAAAAAGAGCTGATGGGGCATGAAGAGAAGCAAGAACAGATGGGGGATGAGAGATGCCACACTGCAGGAAAATCGCCAAGGAAACCAGGAAGCACGCTAAAAAGAGACAAAAACCATCCTCACAGCCCACACTCTTGAGGAGGTGTGGGCCGTCCCCCGCGGCCAGAGTCCTGCATTCGGACTGCTGTCCCCCTAACCTGTGAGGGAAGGGGTACCGGTGGTGCAGTGGGTAAGCGATTATCTGCTCACTGAGAGGCTCCTGGTTTAAACTCGCCGGCGGGTGTGTGGGAGACCTGGCGGTCTGACCCCGTAAAGACGGCGGCGGAGGACAGCCTGGTCGCATAGCCCACAGCAGCCGTGCCCCTCCCCGTGATGGTGGCCTTGAAAACCCGCAGAAGGCTCCTGTTCTCACACAGGTCACTAGGAGTTGAAAACGGACTCGGCTGCGCTTCACGACGACAACAAACTGTGAGAAAATAAGCGTCTGCCTGAGAAAGGCACCCACGCGCGGTCCTTCGGGACTGTACCCCTGTGCAGACGTCGCCCCTCGAGGGAGGCCTGGACCCCGGGCCTTGTTTTCACAGAACGTGGCTAATGCAATGCGACGTCACTTAAGAGGCCCTTACACGAAGACTGTGGCTTCATATGCTCACTGCTCTCGCCTGTTCACTCTGGTGGAGGCCAGGGGAGTTTCGCGTCCACCTAGAATCCCCATGAGAGGAAGGTCTGATGACCTACTTCCCAATAATGAGCCACAGAAACGTCTAAAGAGCACAGTTCTGCACTGACACACTCGGGTCACAACTGACTCAACGGTGCGTTCCTGGAGAGGGCCACGTGGCAAGGCGTGTGTGTGTGTGTGTGTGTGCGTGTGTGTGTGGCCTCGGCCAGGAGTTGGAGGGTGATGAGCCTCTCCGTCCAACGGCCCACAGGGGACAGAATCCTCGACAGCACCTGAGTGAGCTTCCAGGTGGACCTGCCACACTCAGGGGAGCCTTCGGACCAGAACTCAGGCCCAGTCAACACCCCAACCGTAGCCTGTGAGAGACCCTGAGTCAGGGCCCCCCACTAAGCTGTACTCACAGAGGATGTGAGGTCATAAATGTGTGTTGTTTTAAGCCACTGTGTCTTGGGGTAATTTTTGATGGAGCCACAGATAACAGATACATTGAGTGTCATCAGTTCTTTGCAGATACGGCAGCTGAGGTCCAGGCGATGGTTAACACTCACGGAGCTGCACACCTTGAGTGTGAGAGGAGGTGGCAGAGCAGGGCTTCAAACCCTGGGACCCTGACTCTGAAGTTCAAGCCTTGTTTCTCTTCTCTCCACTGAGATCTTGTAAGTACAATGGGAGATTCAAGATCATGGTTTCACGGAATATCCCAGTTTACTAGCCTAACAGTATGTTAGAACGTCTACTTCCCAGATAATTTTGTAGTGTCTAGGGTCTTAAAGGCCTTCCCCTCCTGCGCTGTCCCTCCACCCTCCCAAGCATGATGTCCTTCTCCAAGGACCGATCTCTCCTTACAACATGTCCAAAGTATGTTAGACGGAGCCTCAGAATCCTTGCCTCCAAGGAGCCACCCCGTTTAACCTTTTCCAGGATCAATCTGTTTGTTTTCCTAGCAGTCCATGGTATTCTCAATACTCTTCTCCAGCACCACAGCTCAAAGGCATCAATTCTCCTTCTATCCTCCTTGGTCATTGTCCATCTCTCTGATGCATAACAAGTGATTGCAAAGACCATGGCCTGTATCAGATGCACCTTAGTCTCCAGAGAGACACCACTGCAATCAGGATGAGTGTGTCAGAGACAGTGTGATTGGCACAGGACAGAGCAGAGTTTAGGGCTGTTGTACATAGGGTTGCTATGAGTCGCAAGCGACTCGACGGCACATAACAACAACAACAACAGGGTCTTAAAAGTTTGCAAGAGGCCATACACGACACAGTAACTGGTCCCTATTCACTTGAAACAACATGGGAAGAAGAGGAGTCAGGAATAGAATTTGTGGCTAATTCCGACCAGAACTAAACAGTGCTCGGGTACCATTACTGAACATTTTGATCAAAGATTCCACAGAAGAGTCCTGAACAAAAGGGGGAGAAATGTAAAACAGGACTTCAAATTCTCATTGACTCTTCATTTTCTAGAGCCATGTTAAGGCAGTGAAACTCCTGGACACTATGGCCTTGAGGTAATCTTTAAACCATAAATAAAAAATATTCCCTGAAGTCACCTTAAAACCAAACAACAGTCTAGTTAAATAGCCACACACACGTACAGACTCTGCCTGTGCATTCTGATCCTTATCTGTACAGGATCAAACTGACACCACCAACTGGAGAGATTAGATAGAACTGTCAGGGGGCAGCGAGCTTCCGGATGAAGACACTCAGAAGAGGGGGGTGAGCATTTTGTACAACCTGAATGTCACTGGTGTCA